CATGTTCAGAAGAAAAACCTAATGCCTGTCTGTAGGACCACCAGCTTGGCAATCTTCAGGCCAGAAAGCCTTGTGACAGAGGAGGTCTGTGATCCCTGGGCTTTGCATCAGGCCCTTGCAGCACACACACGACATGACACAACACGACACATGACATGACACAACACAGCACAATCTTTCTTTCATGATCTCCATGACAGTGGTTACATTATTCTTCTTGTACACCCATCCATCCACGCCATGCAGAACTCTCATCCAGAGGTGCTCTGCTTCTAGAAATGCAGCTCTCCTTGCACAGCCTGTGCATCAGCTACTTCACCCACCACACTTGGTCCAACAAGTGTGGCAGCCCAAGGGGATCGGGGGAGAGGGTGGAAAGGGAGGGGACTCACCGCTTGTGAGATTTCTATTGATGGTCTCCTGGGACATACTATGCAACCGCTTCATGTAATCCTCACTGTACCAGACCCGCAGCTTCTCCCCAGGGCGGATGTCACGGCAGGCACGGAAGTAAATCCTCTCGCTGTGCTGGAAGGCCATCAGGTTCTGCTCCCTCTCCTCCCGGGAGATGATCACGTACCTGAGGGTGAGGTGACAAGGCAGGTGTGAAGCACAAACTTTTTTCCTGTGCCCCCCCTTGCACCAGAATGACAACCACAATGAAGCCAGAATGACCTTCAGAGAGAGTCATCAACACAGCCAGACTGGAAAGCATGGAGTTTTAAGTAATGGTGCGCAAATTGCCAGAGATACAGGACAACGAGCATGGACACCCAGGGAATACTAAGTCAGTGGGTCCATTTCTGCTGTGGAAGGGATGACAGCAATGTACATCCAATCTGAAGCAGTATCTCTGTCAGTAATGGTGACACAGACTCTCACGGGCAGAAATTTCTTTGCCTAGTGATGGAAACAAGGACTTCTGGATTCCCCACCATCGCTTCATATCCCAGGGCCCTCTCCTTTGTTCTCAGGAGCATCCAAAACCCTCTGCCTGTCTCTTTCCCAAAACCACCATCTTTCTTTTTAGCAGAAACCAGATTTCCTTGCTTCTCTCTTCTCGGACAAGCAGAATTGAGATACTCAGGGCAGAAACAGGGACACCTAATGTGCATGGGGGTATTCGCTGGTTGTCCAAAAGGAAACCAAGGACATGCCAGTACTGGAAGGTTTTGCACTTGGGCATTCAGCAGCATATGACATAAAAATACAAACAGCCCTGCAAGTCTCAGGAAAGCCCAGCACCACATTGTGGGGATCTCCTGGCAGTGCTGACAGAAAGATTGCTTTCTGGGCATGGGGTTTGTTTTCCTGACTTAAAACAGCTAAATTTCAGCTCAACGGAAATGTATTAATTCACATTCTAAACAACTGGCCCTCTGTGCAACTTGGTAAGACAGAGATCTATAACTAGGATCATATTATTTGCTTTCATACTCCCCGTGTTCTTGCCAGAGGACATGGAAAAGGCTTGATAATACCGGTTCCAGCTGCCACCAACATGAGCTCGTAACACCCACTCAGGACCAGGAGGAGACCCTGTCACAGTACGTACAGACCTGAGAGCAGATCTGAACAGTTCACAGCTAAAAGTTTTTCTTCTCTTATGCCATTTGCCTCTATTATTCAGCACTCCTGGCACAGTAACATTAACAAAGGTGAGCGGCATATGGCTCCTCTGACACCTGCTGCTACTAGTCCTTGCCCAAAAGTTCCCTTATAGCTCACAGGTATTTCTTCAGCTTAAGAAATCTGTCAATTTTGCCTTGAACACTCTCCCCTTCTCTGGCCATGTGCATGCACAGATAAAGACGCAAGCCCACCTGCATGTGATCACACCAACCCACACACATAAGGTCACAAACTTGGAGAAACTTCCCGCAAAACACAGAAAACAAGTCTGCAGTGTCTCAGACTGCCCGAGGCTCCAGCAATTCTGATTTTAATATTAAGCAACTGTGCATGTGCCTGCAATCAGCTCTATTTTTCCTAACGTGTGCTACACAGGATGCTCTGCAATCTTCAGTAATTATTTAAACAGCAGGCTCTGGCACTGCCAAAATTAGCTGAACATTGGCTTTTGTTAACCCTTATTTTACTTTTGATCACAAAACAAAGGAACTTTTAAACTACCAGTTTGTGTATTTGCGGAGGAACGGAGGCCTGGACCAGCGTGGTGGGAAGGAGGTCCTGCAACGGCACACAGCTAGTGCTGCCAGGCTGCCACTTCTGGGTGTTAGCAATCACTCCACAGAAGGTGTATCAGGCATTCAGACAGCCATGAGATACATAACCCTTGAAATAAACCAATGTGCTGTGGTCAGTCTGATGCCCTGCAGCACAGGAGATCCCTCCCCAGTCCAAGCAAAATGCCAGGATGCTTCCTAGTGCCAGCTAAGCAGAGCCCCTGTGGCCGCTCTGCATCCTGCTGCCCAAACATCAGCCGGAGCTGCCCCTGCAAAGGAGCCCGGTTAACTGCAGAGATTTATCACACCCAAGTCACTCACAGCTCCTTAATACAACATACAGGACTCACATACCCATAGCCAGTAGCACTGAGGAATTCATGGGGCAGTGGCAGGATGGTCCAGTGCATTCCCCACAAACGGCATTTGACAGCAAGATTTAGAAAATTCTCTAAAACACAACTTTGTGTGGAAAGGGGAGAGCCTGGTTAACTATTCTCACCAAGGCTCACTTTTATTACGAAGTATTTTATTAAGCATGAGCATGCTTTTCCTGTTCGCTCTCCTGCCTGTAAACCCCACCAAGTTTCTGCCTGAGTGTCCTTCTTCTCTGCTGCCTGCATCCTGCGGCTCTGGATGCCTCCCGGCATGGCGCGGAGCTGGGAGAGCGCAGGCTGGAGGGTGTGAGCTGCAGTATTGCTGCAGCCCTGCAGCACTGCTGCAGCCCTGCAGCATGCTGCCCAAGCCGCCCGCTCCTATCCAGCGTCCTGCAGCGACCGGCGCTGCCGATTTCACCAGGAGATGTGAAGAAAGCCCTTAACAGACAGTTGTGGAATAATCCAGTCACAAACATGTTTCTTCACAGCTGCTGGCAGCTAGTAACTGGTTTATGCTCCGAGAGGAAGCTTTACATCTGCAATACTTCCCTGAGGTAACGTAAATGTAACGTAAATGGAGATCATCCACATAAATGAACCACTTTCGAACCAGCACTGCCCAGCGCCGGCTCCAGCGACCCCAGGGGCACAAATGACATACATAGGTTACAAAGGATTGCATAAAACCCAAATTCCACCTGTCGGTCTAAGACACCTCATGCTGCTGCATACCATGGGTTAGAGGCAGGTGCTTTCCCAAGGACAGAGGAAGTCAATCCACAAAACAGCAGCCTGCTTGGCGAGGCAGGGGCACAAACTGCCTGCTCAGGAGAGAAGAGATTGTACCAGTCTGCCTTCACTGACGTATCTTCCCGAGGCTGAAGCGCTCACGTCCTGAGCAACCCTTCCTGTGAAGGCTGGAAAGCGGGCAGTCTCCCTCCTGTTGCCAAACACTCAAGCTGAATTGAGGCAAGAAGGCCACCTCAGTTTAGATGCCCAGGACAGGCAGGCTAGGCTGACACAAGCACTGCGTGCAGATGGGCATGGCCCCGCTTGCATAGCAGGTTTCCCAAGGGACCGCAATCCCCAGAGGAAGAGCAGGGTTGGGACTGCCATTGGGGCAGACCCAGCCACCCAGAGCCGCTCCTGTTCCTGCAGACAGGCATTGCCACCGGCTGCAAATAGGTCATTTCATGTCCTGCTCAGTCCCTGGGACGAGCCAGGCTCAAGACCACCACAGATCCTGCCCAGGCTACTCAAGACCAGCCATTGCACCAATGGAGACCATTTATAACCTATTTGCAGCTATTGGGGCTTGGATCAACCCCATGGCTGTTGGAGGCACAGCTCCTTGCTCCACAGGGCCACTTTTCCCATAGCCTTTCTAGCTAGCAGCAAAAAAACATCTTCGTCTCCACAGCCCACTCAGGATACCAAATTGCCAAGTTTTAGGATGGCCCAGTGAGCATGCCCAGAACGTCAAGGTATATTTTTTGGCAGCCGGGACCATTCCTCCCCAGGAGGGGAACGGAGCAGCCAGGAGAGACAGTGAGGATGAAGGAGAGCCCTGCAGCTGGAGGGAGGCTCAGGCTTCCGCCCCCCCCGCTGAGGATCCAACCCCCCCGGAGCCGCTCCTGTTCCTGCAGACAGGCATTGCCACCGGCTGCAAATAGGTCATTTCATGTCCTGCTCAGTCCCTGGGACGAGCCAGGCTCAAGACCACCACAGATCCTGCCCAGGCTACTCAAGACCAGCCATTGCACCAATGGAGACCATTTATAACCTATTTGCAGCTATTGGGGCTTGGATCAACCCCATGGCTGTTGGAGGCACAGCTCCTTGCTCCACAGGGCCACTTTTCCCATAGCCTTTCTAGCTAGCAGCAAAAAAACATCTTCGTCTCCACAGCCCACTCAGGATACCAAATTGCCAAGTTTTAGGATGGCCCAGTGAGCATGCCCAGAAAAACGTCAAGGTATTTTTTGGCAGCCGGGACCATTCCTCCCCAGGAGGGGAACGGAGCAGCCAGGAGAGACAGTGAGGATGAAGGAGAGCCCTGCAGCTGGAGGGAGGCTCAGGCTTCCGCCCCCCCCGCTGAGGATTTGCCCCATGCCTCCCCCCTGCCTGCTGGACCCTCCGCTGCTCACCCTCCAGCTGGCCCTGGGGGTGCTCCGCTGACGCCCTGCCAGGGCAGAGCACCGCAGGGAAAAGGCCACTGGACTTTCCCAAATCAACGTCAGGCACAGAGCCAAGGCAGGAGATCCTGCGCAAGAGAGCTGCCACCAGCCCACGGGGTGCCATACCCGCAAACCCTGCCTCAGCTCTCTGATGCCAAGTGCCTCCAGGAGACCCAGCATCTGTGACAGGCTTGTTACCAGTTCAGGCAAAAATTATGAGAGAAACAAATGACTCAACAACAGCTGTGTTAAAAGTGTTATATATTTATTGCATTCTTAACAAAAATACTTTTAAAGAGAGAATTTTTTCAGCATGTACAAGACATGGAGACACTGGGGTTGAGCACAGCAGTTTGCTTTGACATGGGCACTTACTTCAACAGCCAGTTAACATGATGGGTGCAGGACGAAGTATCCTTTGTGAGCCAGTACAGAAAAGCCACTCCACCGAGGGGTCTACACAGGGCAGGAGATACGTCCCCAGATCTGGGCCAATCTGTAATAGTCCACAGAGGAAACTGGGGGAGACATCAGGCAGTTTATAGTATAAGGTACTTTCTCCTGACCAGAGCCCAGCCTTTGGCAGTTTGCATTGAAGACTGCGCATCCTGCGCCAGGACAACGGGGTTCTCTCTCTGAATACATCTGTGTGGGCAAACTGATGGCAGCAACGATGCCAACTCCCCCCAGTGCCCAGCACCTGCAGGAGTCTCCTCCTCTGCAGACCTGAGGGTTCCCCGGAAGGGATACCCCTGGACAACATCAGAGGAGCTAATCCTATCAGTATAGCCGTGGGAGAACACTAGCAGGGACCAAATATTATAAAAATATAAAATACTACTTCTAATATATAGCAGCAGCACTGTATTGACTCAGAAAGCCTTTAAAACATATCACCATTTTTTCGGTTCTCTGTGATTCATAAATTAGATCCACTTCTACCAGATTTCCCAATCTACCCTTCAACTGAAGAGAGACTGTGACGTTTGCAGAATACAAATGTTACAACAGAAGTAAAATGACATTCTCAGAGGAAGGTGAGTGAGTACTGCCCTGGTCTGGCACCAGCACTACAAAGAACGTCTTCTGCATGAAACCAGCGTGGGTCATTCCTCAGAAAGGAGGTTTTTCTCCTTGCCAGACCTCTGCTTCCTTGAGCAAGGGCCTTTTACCGCACCACTAAAAATAAATTACTTGAATTAGATTTACAGAACAATTAAAAAGAAAAAAGGAAAAGCACGTCAGGAATGCCTGACACAGCAGACATACAGTGAGCTTTCCAGAAGAGAAGCTAGTGCACTATACTTTCAAAGGGCAGGCCAGACAGATTAAAGATCCTTCAAGATCATAGAAAACAAGCCATCCTTCTGCTATACTGCGCTGCCTATGTTCAATTTCCGCTGAAGTTTATACAACTTTTCGGCAAGTCTGTAGCCCAGACATGGCATGACGACAGGCATTCATACTAACTTGAATAGTTTCCTGCAACCCACCTCTACATACAATAGGACGGTCCGGAGAGCAGCAGAATGCTAACTGTGCGTGGGTAACACCTTGGCCCTTTTCCCTGCTGAAACATGACATGATAATGGTCCAGATTTTTCCAGAGATGGGGGCAGCATGGTAGGTGCAGATGTGCAAATCAAGCAGAAGACAGACATGTTGTAAAAAAGCTGCCACATATATGTTACCACCTGAGGTGACATTATTAAGCCTAGTTTCAGAATCAGGGTTGTACATGGAAACTTTATGCAGCACTAAAGCAATTCAAATGTTGTAACACAGTTCTTTCTTGCGTCTGTATGGGGAAAGAAAGCAGTACAAAACCAACATGTCTAAGATTTTAACCTACAGAGCTGTGAATTTAGATTGTAAACTCTTCACAATAGGAGAACACAGTACAGATCCCACCCTAAATAACACTGAGTAAGTGCAAAGTAACTGTACTCAAATTGACAGAATTGCAGCGACACAAAACCAAACTGTTCCCGAGGTCAGGAGCAGGCCCTGTATCTTTCCTTGTTTCTGTGCAGTCTCTCACATTTTGAAGAGGGTGCGGTGGTTCAAAACTGAAGATTATAACATGCAAGAAAATAATATGATACAATTCTCTTTAAATGTTGTCATATTATGAAATAATTGTATTTTAACTGCAATTGTGAAGGGTAGGTAGGGGTTTCAGACTGGAGCAGAAAAAAATTAAACTTTTTGATATAAGTGCATGTGGTACTGCAGGATCCGGGCACGTGCCACAGCAGCCCTTCTCAGCAGTCTAAAACCACACAGTGCTCAGATCTGTCCTCCTGTCCTCAGCATCATGCCTTCTTCCCTTCCCTGCACAAGCTGTGCTTTTACACCCCTCTCCCCAAACCTGTGCGTAAGTCACAGTAAGCCCTGGATTGCCCATTATTGCTGAACGCAAGATAAAAATAATGAGCAATAAGAGTTTTTAGAGCCATAAGGATGTATCTCTGCACAGTGCATATACTAATTTGCACGAAGATGATGGGAAGGCAGTAGTAGGGTAAATTTGTGGGTTGATTGCAAAGGGAGCTCTCTATTACACTGTCTCAGTAAATAATGTTCTACAGGCATGAGAAGAGATCAAGATAATGATTCCTATTGCATCTCTTAGCTTATAGAGCGTGCAAAGCACAGGGAAGCCAGTGAAAACTCCTACTCTCTATGAACAGAAAGATGTCCTACATCCCAAGCTCTGTAAGATTTGAGATTCCTCTTTGCTGTTGCAGAGGGCCAGCCCTACTATTCAGCTGCCATAATTCATACTGCTCTGTTAGCTAGCAGGGGGAAGGATGGGTTAGGGCAGCTGTTGACCTTCCCCACAGAGTACTGATACACATGGAGAGGCCACGTGAGCATGCAGCAGCTCAGGAAGCGGCGCCCTTCTTTACTTTATATAAAGCAGACTAAAAATGGTGTTTTCTCTTTCGTGACCTGGTAGTCCGTGCAGAAGGAGTCTGTTTTGGGGGGTTTTGGTTAGACTCTGCACTGGGCTCAGGGGGCTGTTTTGAGCAAGCTGCTTGCAGAATAGACCCCTGCATGACACTAGGATCCTGTATCCTATGGAAAGCCTGGACCCCATCACGGATTTCCGACAGGGTCTGGCACATCTGGCCAACCTGGCTGGTAAGGTCAGCCATCCTCTGACCAATGACATGCATGCTGTCTGTCATGTCTCTGTGAATAGCCACCAGCTCCTGGCAGAACTGCCTGAACAGGTCTGTTTGCTGCGTGTGGGAATGGAGAAGCTGGCGATCAAAGCTGGAGAGGGGCGGGCTCCTTGTGCGGGGGTGCGCGGGTCTGCAGGACGAGGTGGTGCGCGGGGATGGACGGTGCACTTCCTGCCTTTGGCTGGTAGCTTCCGAGTGCTCTGATGAGGAAGAAGTGTGGAGGAAGGAGGGCCCGGAGAGCTGGTTGACTCCTGCACCGGCCCTCTGCAGCGATGAGAAGCGGTGTTTCCGAGAAGTGCCTGGCATCTCTTCATCTTCGTCAGCTTAAACAGAAGCGGAAGCATGAATTATTAATGTGAAATCCCTCACAACTCTGACTTCTGTTTCATGGTATCTCAAAGCACATGGAAAAAGGGTTTTCCTCTCTCCCCAGTCTGCCAGTTGAGACAAGCCTGTAGCTCCTGATGCGTAACTCAACATGCACGTGCTGCAACGTTAGCATCTGGGTGACAAGCTTAGCCGTAAGAGGCCTGAAGAGCAGGCGAACCCAGTCAACCGAGGAGGAATCCAAGCTGCCATGGTATCCTGTACACAGCATTGTTCATTACTAGAAGATAAATCCATTTCAGACAGTAGCATAGCAATGACTCCCCTTCCCCAAAACCATAACTAGCTAGAATACTTCAACATTTTGGAGGGACAAAGGCTCCTGGCCTTTGGTCCAGTCTCAGAATATCCTGATACATTTGGTTCCTCACACCAAAACCCTGCTCCTGTGTCATTTCTTACATCCTCCATGCTGAGAAAAGCATAGACATAGTATATGCTGCTCACAAAGTCTGTACTGCAAGGCCACTATGTGGCTTGGCATCACTAAAAGAACCAGGCAGTCAGGCATAGCAGCAACAGGACCCTATATTAATCAGGCAAGTGCAAAACCAAAACCAAAGCACAACACCACGGGAAAGTTCTCATTAGCCTCATAAATATCTAGTGATGTGCCAGTTCACAGGTACAGGCACATCAAGTGTAAGAAGAGATGATACTTCACTTGTTGCAACTGCCCACTATCTCCTTGCACAAGCTGTATTCATTTTACCTCTGAAATAGCACAACTGGCTTCCAAGATAGATGCAAAGAGTGACCAAGTCCCACTTTGTCAGTTATTGAAGATTTTTGTTCTTGCTTTCTCACTAACAACATTACTTCAGATAAGAGAGAAGACCTAACGTGGTCGGACAGTGCCACCCATGAAGTGTTAGTTGGCTCACTTCCGAAGAAGTTATCCCCTCTTTCTCTCCTTTGTATCCCTAAAAGCTCACAGACCAAGAAGTTGCACCTCCACACAAGAAAAGCGTACGTACGCAACTGGGGAAAGCACCTGCAAAAAGCAGCTGGAAGGTGTCTGAGAGTTGTGGTGTAAGAAGATTAACTTAGAAAGCAGGGCCAGTACTTTCTTAAAAAACAGTGAAGAAGGGAGTCATTATCATCTACCTTTTTCACAGCTCTTGTGCTGAGCCTTCAGACCACTAGTGAGAAACCATTAGCAGCCTGGCCTCAGAGCATAAACACCAGTGACCACTGAGCCCCCTCAACATCCCTCTTGGAAGATGGTTACCATGCAGTGATCCGTTAGCGACTGGCACATGGTTCTCAGCTTGACAGCACTGCTGTTTTATTGGGGTGCATGCAAGATGAAGAAAATCCTTTACAAACTCTTTTTCATAGACTGGAGGTAGTTGCACTTCAACTACAGACATTCCCTCCCTTGTAGGATTAGTTCAGACTTATGACCCATTAAGAAAGTGGAATCTGAACAATGTCTACCCTTAGAAGACAGTATGGAAAAGGACTAGATAAACAGATAAGGAAGATGATCTTAACTTGGAAACAGTTTTCCCTCAATCCACCTCAACACTCCACGATCATCAGAGCAGGCTGTCTTGAAACCAAACACGGCAGTAGGACCTGGCTTGACAGGCAACCCAGCATCTCACAAAACACACAACACTCTTCTGGTGTCAAACTGAGATATGCAAGCATAAGACAAAAAGGTGTTAAGGCAATGATACTTACAGCTTGTTGACGGGCTGTCAACCACGTCCAGATCCGCTCTCCGGAAGCCGTGCATCTGGCGTGACGAATGCAGCGTCGACTCGATGGCTCTCTCGTGGGCGGTCAGGACGATGGCCGAGGGCCGCCCCGTGCTGCCGGGGCTGGAGAGGGACCTCTGCATGAATGCCAGTTTGTCCTTGGTCCTTCTCTTCATGTCGTCCCATCTGTGCTTAATGTCTTTTACAGATCTGGGAACCTGGCTGACTGATGTGATCTGCCTGGCTATGCCTTCCCAGATCTTGTCCCTGTCAGCATGGGATAGACGCATTGTCTCCCTCCCAAACAGCATGGCTTCATTTCGGGTCACCTCAGTGACCAGAATGTCCAGTTCTTCCTTGGAAAACTTGGGCTTCCTCTTTCGTTCAGCCATGTTCCTTGGGTTGAACATCCCACAAAGCACAATTGGGTAAAAGGAAATCAGCGCAAAGCATCCCCCTGCATCCAACCACTTGGCCAGTGCGGCACTGGGGCAGAGGAGTTCGGTGGGATCCAGCTCCCCCCACCCGCAACAACCTCTCAGTTTTCCTCAATCGCACCAGGAAAAGTCAGCCGTTTTGTTTTTAAGAGGCAATTTTCAAGCTTAAGAAAAAAAACACCAAGCAACACTAGTGTGAAGGAGCCTTCTCAGCTTTACAGTTAAAATGAAATTTTACACTTCATCTGATGCCCTGACTTACGTATGAGAATTTCAGCACAGCCTCACATCACTTGCTGCAGTTTGTGCACAGAAAAAAACATGAGAACTCGCAATCACGTTGATGAATTAGCTTCTAAGGTGACATTGCTCAAAAATGGGTTCTTGAGGAAATTTAGAGGCCTGAAACATATCTTACTGTTCTGCCTGGCACAACAAGCAACAGAAACTTTTACACCACCCTTTCTGTTAAAACTTGCAGGATGTCATGCAGAGGCTACATCAATTGGATTTTTTTCAAGGGAGGGAGATCTCGACTAGACTCATGGGCAATTTCTGCAACTCACTTTTCCTAAGGAAAAGTCTTTTCTTCAGCACCAGGGGAACTGCACATCCAGTGTTTGTCTGCTTCACAGCAAGCTCTTGTTTCACCCAGAAGTGGTTGCCATTTCCTATTATTCTCAAAAGGAATGAGGCCACCCACTCGCTTTTCGGCCAGGCTTTGCTGTCACTGCCGCTGACAGGAGCCTGCTCCCAGTTTCTGGTGCTTCAAACAAAAAACTTATAAGCCTCAGCCCGTTGAGAAGAAGAGGCAGCCATCCTGAGCACGAGCAGTTTTGTCCAAAGAGGTGTGTGTGTATGTGTTAATTTTTCCAGTCACAATAGAAGGAAACTTTAAAAATAAACAAAACGTTAGTCCTAAATAGGGCTTTTTCGGGGTAGGGGGTGGGGGGAGAAAGAAGACGGCAGATCTATTCAATAGGGAAGGAGAAAACAAACTGCATGAACATGCAGTTTTGCACTTTAACAAGGTGGGACCGTGGACAGGGGAATAATACGCAGCCTGGGCAGTGGACACCTGTGTATAAGCACACAGAACAGCACAGAAGGGATCAGAGGCCACGGAGGAGCAGAACTGCTGGGAAAACTTAGTGTATGCCTTGATTTGAATTACAGCAGAGTGAAGTAAAATGCCAAAATGGTTATTCTAGTGCTACACATTACGAAAGACTGCTTTTACACATCTTCAAACAATTAAAAGCAGGGATGTTGGGAACTTTTTTGAAAGAGGTCAACCTTTTTGGTGCTCACGTCATACAGTTCCTAATATTTAAAAAGGAAGTTCTCAGATAGAAATCTACATCAGCATGGAGTTATGATGGAGAACACAACACTCATCTGAGGTAGAAGACTTCCATGTTAATATAAACGACCCCAAAAATCTGTCACTACAAGCCTAGAAAATTAATGTTTAAGAATGATATTAAGATGTAACATACAAGAAATAAGACATCTTAATGGTTAGGACACCTAACAACTGTAACTCTGAAGTGACACCACGGGAGGGGAAACCTACTGGCTTCCCCATGTGTTAGTTTTCTTTCTGCTTATGGTCCCAAATTAAATGAAACCAAAGATGCTATCTGCTAGTACTACTAGCTATTACTAGCTAGTAATATTTATTACTAGCTAATATTTATTACTGGCTAGTAATATTTATTACTAGCTAGTAATATTTTATTACTAGCTAATATTTATTACTGGCTAGTAATATTTATTACTAGCTAGTAATATTTTATTACTAGCTAATATTTATTACTGGCTAGTAATATTTATTACTAGCTAGTAGTAATATTTTATTACTAGCTAAGCTAGTAGTACTAGCAGATAGCATCTTTGGTTTCATTTAATTTGGGACCTACTGTTAGCATCTTTGCAGTTAGGGGAATAAACTCCAGCTGGGATAGCTCAGACCCTCCTCTTCCAAAAAACTACATTTAATCCTCAAATCTTGGCTGAATGCCCTATCTCTTGCAGGCAAACTTTAGCCACCTCAAAATACTTTCTGAAAAGTTGGTATAAGCAAAGGCCTCAGCATTTTTCCCATTTGCCCAACGTTTGTGATGGCTCTGCTGGTACCTCCTCAGAGGTGGGTGCCTTTCAGCGCTGCCGTGGCCCAGCGGAAGAGAGGTGGTCTGGGGTGCTCTCATGTGAAAGGTGCTTGTGGGCTGCAGACTAAGAAAAACCTACAGAGTGACCCTTGTCAGATGTCATTCTAGTTTCTCCTTAGTGCTGTTACGCTGCTGTTTAACGAATCTCACTGACACTGCTGCCCTCCATCGGGGTAAGTGTCAGAAGCTGTTAACCTTGGTCAAAGCTAGAAAACCAGTAGGAAATGCTGCTCAAATACCGGCCACATACAGGGAGAGCTGGGAGCTAAGTGCACAGATGCATTTCACTGGGACAAACGTAAATGTATCCTTGAGATACTGTTTTGGTGGAGCTTCATTTATGGAGGAGCGTTTAGGGAAAATGGTAATGAAATGATGGAGAGCCAGCAAAGTGCTTGCTACACTGACCTCAAGGAAAAAAAACAACCCAAACTTAAAAGGAAAAAGGAGTTCTCCTAGTTGAACACTGGAAGGAGGGAAAAGGCTATGTGGAACATTGAGCAAGGGAACATTTACGGTTTGATTTTTATCACATTCAGCAAAACTGGACTTCATGTATATTCTCCGCAGGTACCCACGACTGCACAGTATCATCAGTGCCTCCATGTGGTGGAAACAAATCTCTGCTGACAAGCTGCTCTGGTGAAAAGGAGTAACAGTATTTTGCAAAATGCCCCTGGGTAGAGGTGAGCTTGCAGAACAGAAGTCTCTCCAGAGCTTCTCAGAGCCGCTGGCGGGGTCAGGAAACCTGCGCCCTCTCTTCTCTGCTGAACCCATGGCTGCTGCCACTAGCAAAGCTGCACCGATGGGGAATTAGAGCCCTTTTTGCTCTTCCCAGACAGGGTATCCCATCAAGTGCACTTAGGACAACCTGTGGTAGACCTGGATATTCAGATTTCAGGGTCTCCCCTCATTTGCTCCAGCACGGCTTGGGTCAAAACTATTTAAGATAACTTAAGTATTCCAACAGCAAATTCACAATGCAAAGAGTAATGAGTTCTGGCCAGTTTTAATCACGAATTCAATTAATGTTAGGCTCCCAGCAGGCACATTAACCTCCTCCTTATAAAAATGCAGACAGTATTACTGTCAGAGACATCTTTTTCCCCCTCATGCATTTCCTCTAGCATGCAGGATGCCTCTAGGAGCAGTCACTGATATTTGGAAGTACCTCTCTGGGGATGCTGTGTGGATTTTAGCAAGCTCCAGAGGAGCCCCAGCTTTGGGTCTGCAAATTCACACCTCAGCCCAGGTCAATCTGAAAGTGCAAGACTGTACAGGTATTTCTTTAGAAACACACGTGATGTAAACTATGTGAACAGCGGGCACTTAATGATCACCCCACAAAGATATCAGCTGACTCCACTTTTCTTGGCCTCTAAGAAGAAAGCATATAACCACTTCAGAGCCCTGGGGAAAATTTTTTTTACAGTGGTCATAGTCCTACAGTACTTTAGGATCCCTTTTGCTCTGCATAAATTTCACTCTGTAATGCATAAGAACATTTGCTCCACTTGCTGCAAGGTAATAGAGACCAGTTTATGAAGTTCAACAAAATGACCTGTGCATAGGCTGGTGGCTTCTACTCCCCCTGAACACATGGGCAGCCACAGTAACCCTGAATTTTTTAATATTTTTTATTTAAAAGGTCCTGTAAAGTCAAAACAGCAGCTCGGTACTTAAAAGATCTACTGATTTAAGTTGGTCCTGCTTTGAGCAGGCCATTGGAGCACCTGACCAGAGCTCCCTTCCAAGCTCTATTATTGTATGAAGACCAAATCGCTGACATCTCCATTATAAGGAGGCACAGGAAGACATACAAAACAGTCTTGCTCCCCATGACCTCTTTGTTACTATGTTTGGAGGGGAAAGGGGGCAGAGAAGAAGGCAAAGGAGAAAGAAGTGAGGAAGTCTTGCACCAGCCTTTTCACATGAGCTGAGGGAAAGGATGAATTTGAACTGTGTCAAAAGCCTGAGAACTCAGGTACTCACATGTAAGAAGGGATACAGACTATAAAGGCCAAAACTAGCCTAGAAACCCCACACATGAGGCACTTCACTCCAACAATTCGGTTAGGCACCACCAGTTTGCCGGTGCTTCCTATCCTGCATCTCAGTCTGGGCCAAGTGATATACACAGAGGGATGTTTCCAGGACTTTCTGAATTACTTTCATTTTTTGGTCAGATCCTTTTTTTTTTTAAAGGTCCCCAACAACTGAATAACAGAATTTCCTCAGAAGTAACCAGAAACAACAGCTGGTTCAGTGCAATCCTTCAGAAGCCCCAAGAACTTCCATCAGCAGCAGTTTATGGTTTGTGTCTGAGAAAGCACCGATTTCGCTTGAGGTTTGCTGCGATCTGTGGTAATCGGTCATCCTGAGCCCCCAGAAAAATAAAAACAGAGGAAGAGGTTTGCACCCATCCCTGCAGGTCAAAGCCATGGAGTTTCATAAGCTATTAGAAATGACAGCGCTTTACTCTGGACAGAGATGAAGGGTGCATTATTCTTGTGCCAGCGGCCAGCTTAGGAGAACATGCTACCAGCATTAGGAGTTTGTCTCGGCTGACTGACTGAAGAGGGGACGGACAAGAGGATGTTACCATTGCCATGCCATCTGCTACGCTTCGTACTCCTTCCTCCCTGTCATCCACTGCCCTGGGTAAACAGCCACTTGAAATTAAACCAGCAAGTGCTGCAGTGTACACATTGTCCTCAGTGGGAACATGAAAATAGACTCAGATGTGGTAGTCAAACAACAAAAACAATAGCCAGATCTACAAGAAGAGAGAGGAGTCAGCCC